TGTTTTGCACAATTATTTAATTCAAAGACAACCTAATTATATAAACAATATTGAAAATAACATGGAGCAATCATTATTATCAGTTGGTGATATTATAGAAACACAACATTCTAGTAACGATGGTTATCAAGTTCGTGAAATGTATTGTTCATACTTTAATAATCAGGGGAAGGTACCATGGCAAGATACTCGAATTTTGAAAAGAATCTATAATAGTCAGTGATGTGAGACAGATATAGATAATTTGGCCAGTGCGGACATTATTTAACTATTTAGGCTATTACATTATATAGGTATTTTGTTAAATAAAAAAAAGATATCAATATGTACCTACTAGAAGGTATTATAGAATAAAGATAATATTATTTACCATCCGATATGTTTGTTTCAAGATAATTGTCCACGCAGCATCTTTTGTTTGTTGATTTGTAAAATTCTGAAGATGTGTTCCAAATGACGGAAACTTTTTCACACTTTCAATAAGTTTTTCATCCATTATCTTCGGTCACATACGCACTGGTGGAATAGGCGGCAATGCCGGCGAAAGTGCGCCCGCGCCCGCACTCGCTTCCCGCTCCGCTCCCGCTCCTTTCCCGCTCGCATACCGGTTTTATATGAAATTTTAAACTAGCTCGCAAGTCCCTGTCCACTTAAGAGGAGCGGAGATTTTGTGCAATCCTATTGGTTAATATTTCTCCGTTTCTCGTCCGCTGCCTCGCTCCGCTTGGTGGATGGCAGCCTAATGCTGGCATACGGAGTCCAGTCCACAAGTGTTTGTTGTAATTACAATTTCATTATCAATAATAAATCTGCCTCCATTCGATGGCAAAAACACTTTTTTTTAGTTTCTGCTTTTTATTTTTGCCTGTATATTTTTACCAGGCGCTGGGCGGAATTGTAATAACATTGTTCGATATCTTAATTTCATGATAGGTACAGCATCGAGGATGGAAAACCTAGGAAGAAGCAAATAGGAAGCAAAACATGAACTATGAAGAAATCGATAATTCATTATAGTGAGTACAATAGGATAGGTGACCAGCCATTCTGACGTCAGAATGGCTGGTCACTAAATTGTTGTGGTTCTCCCAAGATACTAAGGAAGCAATTGTCTTGTAGTAGGAATTAAATAGAAGCAATTGGGAAGTAATTTTTAACACGACTAGTGACCAGCCATTCTGACGCTCACCAAGTTTTTACCAATTTGAGGTTCAGATTCGAGGAATGTTTGCAGCGCAATGGTGCACACCTGGATGATGTTATTTTTAAGAAATAAATTTCCCAGATGTCTGTTTTAATTGAAATAAAAAATTGTATGTGTATTGTATTTAGTTTTTTTATTATATTTTTTTCAAATTCGCAAATCTTTCTGGCCCACCCTGTATTTTTCTAATAAACTGAATTGATTAGCAGGTTATTTGTATTAAACTAACAACATCCCAACTCCCTGTTTTTGTCCTTGTATTGAGGTAATCTCATGTCATATCAACAGAATATTGTTTCACCAACTCAATTAATTGTTCGTCGTTCATTTCGCCAAATAAATCCAAAAATATCTAAGTATATAAATTGACATTCGTGTCAAAAACTCGAAAGACTGACGTATGACGTCATCATCACAACATCCACAACACGCCGATCGAAATCGATTGGATGTTACCGCGTGTGATCACATGGCGTGTTGTCTATGTGCATCTGACCATATTAAATATATGGGATTGATAAGTACTGACATGCGTCGGATGGCGTGGTGTAGCGTCGCGTTTTGGTAGTATGTTTCCGCCTTAACACTCGGCCATTATTCTTAGATTACATTGCCTGTAGAAAAATTTTGTCGCAATAATTACTAAACGCACCACCGTCACCTATCGTGTATTATCAGTCGTAAACAAACTTTGAAACTGTCAAGTGTCAACATGACCAGTAAAAGAAAAGCGTTATGTATTGTTTTTAGAATAAAAAAATTATTCCCTCCCTATAACGAATAAAAACGCTCGGTCCCTTGGCATCCGTTATAAAGAGTTTACATTGTATTTGTATTTCGCTGGTTTTTAAATAACTGCAGTTACTATAATGTTATCATACCCAATTACTTTTCCAATATGCCTAGTTTTTTATTTAAAAACTATCCTCTAATAAACCTTTATATTTAAACCACGGACATAATATTACATTATTACGATATAAAAGCGTAATTAGGAGTCACTATACCAAATTCGTAGATTACGAAAGCACGATTTTTGTAAATATTCCGTAAGACATAAATAAAACATCATGTATTTTCAAAATATATTTATTTTAAATAAAAAGGGATCACAGAATATGAGAAAAACACTTACCGAACTCGCATTTCCACTCGAGAATGATGCCCAGATTCTCCGTAGTAATCATGGAAATAAACAAATTAAATTTGTACATAAACGTGGAAAATAAAAAAAAACATTACCCACCAACTGTAGATGAAGTGTGTTTGACTGTAGCTGTAAGTGATAGAAACCTATATTAGGCCTCTATTAAATACGTATTGTTTTCGCCCGAACCCAATAATCAATCCACAATCTCAGATTGCTTTCAAACAGACTGTGACAGTCGATCGTACTCCTATCTGCATCCCAATAACCAATCCTTACGAAGACAATCCATTTTAGGGCGACGGATAAAATGCTCTTTGTCGTTCCATTTTACCGAGTTTTCACTCATATTTGATAATCAATGTAAACCAAATAAAGTAAATAAAACCGTACAAATAACATTAAAATATACATGTGTCTGTTTAAAATTAAAACATGTTTTTTTAATTATTTAAAAAACTGAACTGGTGTAAGTTAAAATCTGTTGAAATAATTAACTTTTGAAATCGATCTTTCGTCAATTGTCCATCCCTAGACACCGATACGACCTCCAATGGATAGATATTGACAGAGGACTATAATACAATTCTTCGATTGGTTATTGGCACACTTGTTACAACTTTTGGATTAAGATTACTATCTCAGATGGTGCATTATGGATTGAGATACGTTATTGGGTTCGAGTGTTAAACGGTTTTAAATGAGCGACTGACTGTGGATAACTATGTACAGCGCTTCTACACGTGTATACCGAATAATCAGAGAAGTGGGCCCGAACTGTGTTGGATGCACACTCAGACGAGCTATGCTTCGACAGTAAGAAATTTAGTGAACGTGTGAACGCGCTGTTATAAATCACTCACTCGAGTGCTTGTGTTAATATTTGTTAATAAACGTTCCGTTATGTACTCAAGTACTACCAGTTCCTATACGCGTTGAGTCACTTAATGAAATAAGGCTTCTTTTTGAAGTCGTAGTTTAAGTTGTACGTTCCTCGCGTATAAATGAATTGATGGTTTTCCGAATGTCAAGGTAAAATCCAATAAAAGCACCTAAATAAAAACCTTATTAGACGTTAACCAACTACTTGACGATAACATTAAATGAGAAATAGAGGGCGTTTAAATCTGTATAGAATTGCTAGATAATTAGAATGAGTATAACTATTGAGGTACCATCTTACACGATTTCTGTTAAGTCCTTTGAAAATATACCATACCCACAAAATTTCATTGCATGAATTTAAATCTTCACTTTGCTAAACGGGATTTCCCACATGAATTATAATTTTTTTTTTTAAACATTATTTTCAGCATTAATTTTCTCTAAAATGATAAATCGAATAGTAATTCGACAAACTAGAAAATTTTTCAATCACGCGTTGTACAGAGTAATAGCAACAGTAAGGCTAAGATTCAGACTTTCAGTGGGAACTCTCCTTTGAGTCACACATAGATACTTAACAGACGGAGATTTTATTTCACTTAAAATTTATCTCAGAACGCTAGGACCAAATTCCTACCTAGGTATATATGAATTGTCAATGTAGAATCAAACAATAGTTTGAAATAACCTAAGACTTTAGGAAAATAGTTTATTTAAGAATATAAGAAATATGTTAGGTATGTATAGTTCCCAACATCAAAAGCTACTCTACGTACAGCCACCTAGTATCCAATTTTTGTTAGTGCCAGGAATACAGGTGAGATTACAGTTTTAGAAATTTTGCATAAAACTTTACCATTTTCCAATTTTAGGGGAAATGACTAACAACAAAAGAAAATGACTGATTTATTAAAACATCTAATCGTCCGTACACCTATCAGTTTTTTAAAGAAATTATTTGTCATCAGTAAGTACTAGATGGTTTGAAGCTAGATTATATTCCCCTTTTACATCCTAAGCCACTTTAGCATTAAAACCTTCTAGTGCCTAAAAATTCTAACTTAGAACTAACAATGGTAAAGAAAAGGACTATTTACAGATCTAAATAAACAACCCTACACATATAAATTTAATTTTATTAACATAGCTTTATCCTAAATCAATTTTATACCTAAACATTCATTTGAGAACTTAATACTGGATGTAGTGAGAAAATGTAAGTCAACTACACAGCTAGGTAACTAGCTTCTACATTACAAATCATCCTAAATTGTACTTAGTCATAAAATATTTAATCACAAACTATCCTCTAATCTTAAAATTATGTCACGGCAGATACCTAAATACGATAATAAATAGGAGTTACATATCAGTACAATCAATTGATTTCTAACGATTGCTATGTTCTATCTAAATGTCTAAAATTTTCCTGACGCCTTCTCCTAGGTGGTCTCGATGTAGACCATGATGAGTAACTATGAGCTCCGGAGCGCCTACACTAGCACGATATACTCTGCACTACTAGTGTACTTAGCACGTAACCTAGAGATTGAAAAAAACCTTTAATAAACATACATGAAAATACTAAATGCATAGCATTATTAATTAACTACCCAATCAGAGCTATCTTACCCTAATGTGAATGTTATGTTAATCCTACAAGTATATACCTAAAGGTGATAGAATGCTGCCTTTCGACTCATTAGGCAAGTGTCATGATTAGATTTGTCTTTTAATGTTTGATGTGATGTGACATACATACATTTAGAATCTCCCTCCTCTTCCTTGGCCGCCACCTCCATAGTTTCCACCCCCATAGCCACCACCTCCACCCCCTTGGTTCATGTTGTATGGAGCTGCTCTATTATTCCCACCATACTGTTGACTCCTAGTTGGTCCCCCACTGTACCCCTGGTTACCATAGTTACCAAAATCTTGGTTACCCCAGCCTCCTCTTTGGTTACCACCTCCCCCATAACCACCCCCTTGGTTGCCACCTCCCCAACCTCCCTGGTTGTTATCCCATGGGTTTGAATTATTCCATCCACCTTGATTGTTTCCATAACCACCTAGAATCACATTGAATTTTTGTCATTTTATGTCACATAATTGCTTTGATTTAATCTTATAATTCAACATATAACATAAGATTCATACCTCCACCATTGCCCCAGTTGTCATTTCTGCTAGGACCACCACCTTGTCTTCCACCTCTAGAATCTGAACCATCTTTTGGCAACGCTTTTTTCACATCCAATTGTTTACCATTCACTTTGTGTGGAGCATTTACTAAAATGAAACATTGAATTAACTAAAATATGTCAAGAAATTTGTAAGGTAATAAATAACGTACAAATTTTTTAATGTTTGTTGATTTGCGTACCCAATCTACTAGATAATAGTCAGGTATAGCTAAAATCAAAAATTTACTTTCCACAGACAGAGGAAGCCAGTTTGGACACATCACTTCCATTCTGGGGCAAAACTGTGGGTCCATATAAGAAAAATCATTTAAATACTTACAGCAAATTTTATCAACTGGGTCATAGTCTTCAAATTCAACAAAACCAAAGCCTCGTTTCTTTCCTGTTGTTTTATCAGTAACAATACTGACATTTTTAACTTCACCAAAGTTTGAGAAATATTCTTTCAGTTGCTCTTCATCATGGTCATCTTTAATTCCACCAATAAATAATTTCTTAACTGTAGCACCAGCTTCAGGATTTTTGATGTCTTGTCGAGCAACTGCTCTTTTTGTTTCAACAAAGCTATAAAAAACAGAAAGTGCTATAAGAAGCAGTATGTAAAAGTCAATGAAAAATAAAATATGTAAAGGTAATTCTAGGTCAGAGATGCCAATTGACTCTTATAATGAAGGTTGTTGACCTCACTGAAAATGCCACGCGTATTAAATCGTGTGACATTCACCAAGTGTTGTCTTATAATATTTGCAGTGTAAAACGATATGAAAGCAACTAAAATGCTTTCATATAGCTGGACTGCAGTTATAAAAGTAGCTAACTTGCTAAGTAAGAGGAAAGTAAAGGCTTAGTATTGTAACTTACCGTCCATCGATACGATGTGGCCTGTTGTTCTGAGCATCGTCCACCATATGCGCTTTAGAGTATGTGATAAAGCCAAACCCACGCGATCTTTTCGTTTTAGGGTCTTTCATGACCACTACATCAACAATTTCACCCCATTTTTCAAAATGAGACTTGAGAGATTCGTCTGTAGTTCGGTAATTCAAGCCTCCGATAAAGATTTTACGATGTACTTCAGGTTCATCCTGAAAATATGCCACGATACATTACCAATATCAACAACAAAATGGCGGTCGGCTATGGCGTGATCTTGAATCACCAAGGCGTCCATAATGTTTACTGTAAAATCGCATCATATAAGCGCAGCTCAATTACATATGCAATTAAAATAGAAAAAAACACTAATCTCGACTAAAATTAAAACACTTGTTTACCAATCATTAAACTACAATTGCACCATTAACCATAAAAAGACAAATACTTACATAACCATCATCTCCATTCTGTGGCCTCATTTTAAATTTAGTTAAATATTTGAATAAAAATAAGTTTTCACAAAAACCACTACAACGTTATAGACACGTCTACACGGTACCGACGCTTCGCCAAAAAGAAGTGAAAATTGAAGCGAATACGAATAGTGAGTTTCGAGTGGTGGTCAAGAGTCAAGACTCAAGCATCAAGCCGCAGTGTTGCTATTCGATGGTAACGTTTTATAAGTTTCTAATCTGTTGTTACGTGTTGTTAGACTTATTATTCCTTTATGTCTTATTAATATCAAAATTTTAACTTCAACTTAACCTTTAATTACTAAATAAAATGTCGATTTAATTAAATAGGTATGAATTGGGGTTAAATATTTAAAATCTTCATAGCTACCTAATGCCAATAAGTGCATTGCACTGAGGGATAGTACTTAAAGATTGGGCGAACTATCGTCCAGACTAAACTGCGAACACGATACTTATGATATAATTTATTATTTACGACAACAACTATCAATAATAATAAAACAAGTGAAAACAACAACAAAAAATTATTGTTTTATTATGCGTGCAGATTCTATTTTTGAAGTTATACTTTTGTTAGGCGCGTTATGAAAAATTTATGAGAGTGAAATTTTACGATGCGCGCGCACCGTGACACAAAATTATCAGTATGGTCGCTGAGCGCGCGCGAGCGAGATGGGAATAAGACAATCTACAATTAAAAAGAAATAGAATATGCGTGACGTTAGCAGCTATGCCAAGAATTTTGAATGACCATAATGACATTTGGAGTACCTTTTAAACAAATAAAGAGTTTTAATTATTTTTTCAAAGAAATTTAGCAATGCTTTTTCACAAAGACCTATTGTTACTTAGTTAAAAGGTTATGAAACATACCTAGTTATTAAATTGAAATAATAATATAATAAAATAATTATTATTATTAATTAATAATTGAATAATATATTAAATATTATTAAAATATTTTAAGAATTAATAATTGAATAATATATTAAATATTATTAAATTATTAACGCTATATATTTATTTTTAATTATTTAATATTTAAAAAAAATAAAGAAAGCCAAAGAAGTATAACTTCTTACGCGCGTACATAAGTACACGCACCATTTTTTTTTATAACGCTATAAAATGTAGAAACTTATGTTAATTTGTAATACAGCGGGCAATCTGTCTTGCTCAACTGGTATCAATCATACAAAGATATACATTTTGCCACTTCCAATGTGGAGTAGCGACGGTAGATGGGTGGGTCTATAATTACTGCGATGACGTCGTACCCTAAAACGCGTTACTAAAGTTATTGCGACCGCTAAGGACATAATATACAACTTTTCGACTTAAACCGCCTACGGGCCGGCCAGTCCCTGTTAAGAGAGGCGATCCTCTCTTTAGTTCCGATAGAAAACTACATCGTGAACAAATAAAGGCGGCGGAGGACTTGGTTTTTGAAGTGAAACTTCTTTAGGCGCATGAAGGTAATTTTTTATGAAAACGTCACGAAGATGTGCAGCGATTTTGTCGAAGAAAAGGGAGAGAGAGAGAAGGGCGAATTAGGTACCTTATAGAAATTCTATTTTAAAATTAAAATATCGTAAAGAGAATTTATGAAATATGTACCTATTATTAGTATTTTATATTTTCAAATATGCAAAATAATTTATTGAAATCTCAAATAACGAATTGTAAATTAAAATGCCACGTGATTTGATTACTGAAGAAATAAAAAAAAGGGTGCGTGTACTTATGTACGCGCGTAAGAAGTTTACTTCTTTGGCATTATTAATAATACATACGGATAGTTAACCTCAATTGTATTGAAGCACTTAGGAAGGTTGATGAGCACAGTTTTTTCACGAATATTTTCTAATATTAATTAGTATTGATTTAAATATTTAATTTAAATCACTTCTGATTATAATTCAGACGCACATATAAAATTCTCACTTGTAAAATGAAAATAACTAGGTATGTTTCATAACCTTTTAACTAAGTAACAATAGGTCTTTGTGAAAAAGCATTGCTAAATTTCTTTGAAAAAATAATTAAAACTCCTTTATTTATTTAAAAGATCCCTACAAAGGTTACTACAAAGGTCATTATGGTCATTCAAAATTCTTGGCATAGCTGCTAACTTCACGCATATTCTATTTCTTTTTACTTGTTATGTCTTACTTCTACTTTACGTCTTCTTGATTGTCTTATTCCCATCTCGCTCGCACACGCTCGGCTCGGCGAAGTATAACTTCAAAAATATATATAATATATACCTATAATTTGTATTAATTTTCGACACTTAATATTTTAATGATAATTAAATTCATTAAATTCCTTTTTCTCTCCGTCTAAGTCTCGGAAATGTTAAGTTTTAGATTTGTTTAAATATAAACAAGACATAAAAATTTGTTTGCCGAAGAAGTTTCACTTCTGGCATGTATACTTTGTTTTATGCACGCCCTTTTTTTTTACGAAAGTTTTTTCTTCGACTTTAACTTTTCAAATCCAACTACCACGAAGAGTATTTATTTTGCCTGTGGTTTCTAGTTGAAACTGAAGTCTGTGCGGTGTTAGTACTCTGTAGCCTGTGATTTATGGTTCGCAGCTTGCATCGCTAGTCGGCATTTATTTCTAAATTTTCTTTGCGGTTCGAGATTTTGCTTAATAATATAAAGGTACCTGCTAAGTATAATTTCTAGTATTTGATTTTTTAAAAGGCCGAGAAGGCATAGTTTAGAATACATCACTGTATATCAATATAATTTTGTTGCAACAAATTTCTCGTTGCTACGTAAACTGTATTCCTATACAATAATTTTTAATATCTTTTACAGATAAGAAAATCGACACCGAGTTAAAATGAAACCTCGCGGCGGTGATGATTTCGTAAGTATCTGTTTAATAAGAAAAAAATATACATCGAATTATATATAGTTTTTAGTTATGTGTGATTAATATTATCAAATGGTTTTCTATATCTACTGAATGTTGTATTATCGATTTTGTTCGAATGATACAAAATGGTCCGCTCTTTTTGGATTAATCCAAGAAAAAAATATGTGAGTCATAGCTAATGTCGTAAGATTAATTATTAATACTTATATATTGTATACATAGGTATATTAAAAAGAATCAAGTCAGATCTTTTTTGTAATATTTTTTATATATGGCAACCTACATTAACTGATGGCTAAAAGTGCCAATGGACTTTGTATCCGGCTAATAAATAAATTAAAAAAAAAAAGATGGTAAAATTAATTTATTATTTATAAGCCACAATTTAGTAACATAAATAACTAAATTAATACATTTTACAGGAAGAGCCAGAGCATACAAGGAAACTTTTTATTGGAGGTTTAGATTATCGGACAACTGATACTTCATTAAAGGAATTCTACGAACAATGGGGTGAAATTGTTGATGTTGTTGTCATGAAAGATCCCCAAACAAAGAGGTCAAGGGGTTTCGGTTTTATCACATATTCGCAAGCTCACATGGTAGATGATGCTCAGAAAAACAGACCCCATAAAATTGATGGCAGGTAAGTGTATTGCCAAACAAACCAAAATTTTTCTTACTTGCGATACAAAATTATTTTGAACTCATTTAATTTCTTGTCGTAATCCCAACATGGTCAATGTCTTCCAGATTGCATCTGTTTTTTGTGAGCCGAGAATTGAATGCTCAACCTTAGGGTTAAAATCTAAATAATTAACTAATTAGGCATCATTGCTGTTAAAAATGTAAATGACAATGAAAATTTTGGTCCATATTCTACTTCATATCTCAAAACACAATATTGACTTGAGAGCTGTCATATATGCCAACATATAGAAAATATATTACAACAGCTCTTGTGTCTTAATACTTATGATTGCATTTTTTTTCAGAGTTGTTGAACCCAAACGTGCAGTTCCCAGAGAAGAAATTGCTAGGCCTGATGCTAGTGCTACAGTAAAAAAACTTTTTGTAGGAGGTCTAAGGCAAGATATAGAAGAAGAAGATTTGAAGGAGTACTTCAGCTCATATGGAGAAGTTCAATCTGTTATTCTTGTGACAGAGAAAGAAACTGGAAAGAAACGAGGATTTGGTTTTGTGGAGTTTGATGATTATGACCCTGTTGATAGAGTATGCTGTAAGAAAGACTTTTAACTTATCTTTAATAGGAAAAATATTATCTAAATTTTGTCTATGTTTATCTTTTCTGTTAAGAAATGTGTAAAGGCCTGGTTTAGTGTTTAAGGCACAGGGTGTATACCAAAGAAGTATCGTAACATAACATACATATAGCTAGTAAAACAAACATTGTTAATGGTTAGTAGGTGTTTACTATCACCTTTTTTTGTTACAATTCAATCTTGATCAATTTAATGTCTTTAACATCTGTACTGTCTATATTAACATTTACATTTTTGCCAGATTAGTTAATGTTTGTCATGATAATTAGCCTGAATAATATATTAATTATGAAGAAGATAATTATATAAATTAATAAGTATTAATGTAAGATTTAGTAAATTTCTCAATAATTAGCTCATTATTTCTTGAGACTAAGATATTCATTACGAAATATTTCTTATAATCTTTCTTTTATCGTAAGCTATTAATGATTTAAATTAATTAAATCCTCTAACATAAATAGATCATTATCTTAAGTAGCCCTTAATCTGGAACCAATAATTATTGTATTTGCTTGCAATATAAATATAGCCCTAGAGGCATAATGTAAACCTATAGAATGCATTTTTTACAGTGCAACAGAACCACAAGGTTAAGGGGCACAGATTAGATGTGAAGAAAGCTCTATCGAAGTCTGAGATAGGGGGCGGCGGTGGCGGCGGTGGTGGTGGTGGGGGTGGGGGGAGTAGGCGAGGCGGTCGTGGCGGTGGCTGGGGTGGAAGGCAGGGAGGACAGGACTGGAACTCTGGTGAGGACGTTGATTATGGTAAATATATTGACATATTATTTTGAAGAGTTAAGGTTATTTAAGATGGGGTTAAGATTATATAAGTCCTTACATACACAATAATGTCTAACGAAAAATTGAGAGTCATTCAAATCATTTATTTAACTTTTCAATCAAGTTAGCTGCAATTTATAGCAAAGCTTTTAAATATCAGTAATAATTTGCAGCTCACACAAATACATTTTTGTCATGAAGGAACCAGTGCCCTAAGCTAATAAAGCTAAAAAAATTTAATTAAACATATCACTTATGAAACAACTTAATATTTCAGGTTATAACCAAGGCGGTTGGAATAACCAGAATCCTTGGGATAACTCAGGCGGTGGCTGGAGCCAGGGTTATGAAAACCAGGGTTGGGGCCAAGGTCCTGATAACTTCGGAAGTAGTTATCAACAGAACTTTGGAGGTGGACCAATGAGGCCCAACTTCAATGCCCAGAGGCAACAGCCATATGGCGGTGGTAACTATTATTTTGCAGTATTAAATATGTTTGAATGACATTAATTGATTAGAAAAAAAGAATATGAATTAGTTAGAAATGTTATATTATTAATGATATTAAGGCATGTTTTTCCAAATATTCATATACAGTAGGTGATATACCTACTGTATATGTCTTTGACAAAGCATTTTTAATATTTGTATGAACAATGGTACAGAGGACCAATACGCGCTTTGACTTTTTATACATATTTGGTGTTAGTGTTACATTACTTAAAGTTCCGTTTTTAGCATTGTCTCGTGAAACTATGGAGCACAGTTCCGTATAGTAGAGTCTGCAGAAAGAAACTGGTTTTCTGTGCGTCATTTCATTTTCATATCAATTATATAATTACTGTCCAACTATAATGATGAAAATAAATAACTAAATAGCTATGATATGAAGTAAGGCCTAGGCCCTAGGGGAGAAAGTATTTTCTCCAAGTCTAAAATTATAAGTTTTTAGACTTTTGTTGTATGTATGTACAACTACAATTGGTAATTTATAATTTTTTTTACAGGTGGTTACAGCACAGGTGGTGGCGGCGGCGGCGGCGGTGGTAACTTCAGTAATGCCTCAAGTGGTGGTAATCAACGTCGGTTCTAATCCAATCTCTTGTAAGTATTCTTAACCAGTGCTATCTATAGACAAATAAATAAGGTGACCAGATTATGCGTAGCTGTCGTTTTTAGGATTTTTTTTTACTAAAAATACAGGCGGTTACTTGTAATATCGTAAAATCTGAACAAGTTGATGAGACTTAAATAACGGATGTCTGAAGGTTACATTTTAAATTTTGTAGTTTTTCTTACACTCTGTATTTATTGTCATAGTATAAAATATATTAATAAAATCGGTTTTCCGGCGTATAATGTAATTAATAGCAAAGTTATAGAGTAGTATAATATCCAGGCTAAATCCAGCCGGAAATGGGATATTTACGATTGTCATTGTTATTATTGGAAATTTTATCGGGAAGAGATATTTACGTACACTGCCCAGATTAAAAAAATCTTTACTGCTTATTTTCTTCCTGTTTGTGTGTTAACAAAAATTTTATAATTATGCACAGCGTGACCACTAGTCACTGACAATTCACTATGTAAGAAATAAGCTGGTGATAACATGATAATTATAATTCATTTACATTTTATTATTATTACATTACAATCATATAGAAAATTATTCTGAACAGACAAGTTACAGTTAACTGACTTAAGTCAACTGTCATGTCAACAACCTTGTTATGTTGAATGGTGCAATGCGCGAAGTGTTACCTGAATCCAAACAGTGACAATCGAAAATGAGTTGTTTTTGGGGCATACGATTTAGTTATTTTCAGACATTCGTTAGTTGACTTTAGAAATAAATTAGATACTAGCTAATTAAGTAGTAGGTTATTTTTTATAACTACGAATATAATTACATTTATCGTTGATATCGGATTTTCTATATGCTAGGTGTTCAAATATTTATAAGAGATTTTTAATACTTAGGTACCAAGTTGCGCTTAGATGAGACTAGGCAGGAGGTTAGAGTAGGACAGCACTAGTGAGGGCCGAGAGGAAACCACTACATAGGTTAGGTTACACAATTACCCTATAAAGGTAATGTGAGGAATCCTATTTCTGATCACAGTTTTTACATTATATTCACAGAACACTGTCCAATTATTATTAAGTTTGACATGAAGTCGTTATTTTCTTTGTGAAAACTGTGCATATGTTCCTAGGTAGTAAGAAAATGATATTTATACACTTTACATAGATACTCTGACATTCCAGATTGGTTCAACTTATATTTTGATCTTAGCTTATGTACATCAAATAAATTTGTAATTGTTACGCGGTCATGTCAAATTTTATTTTTCGTTAAGGCTATGTATATTTCTAATTGTTTGGTGTTGTGTGCAATATTTAAAATAACACTATGTTCCATGGACTCTTCTACGCCTGAGCCATCGTTCGTGGAAAAGGCCATGGTAAGTTTTGATGGAAATAAACTTATGGAATAAATGTGGCTTTTATTTATCTTAATTCCGAATTTAAAAACAAAGTACAGTTAAAATCTTTATGTACAGAAATACAGGTTTTATGAATATTATGTACACAATATGTATTTTAAATAACTTAAGTTCACACAAAGATTTTATTAACAAAAATTTAAGAAAGCTTAAAAAGTGAAGTAATACACTTCTGGACACATCTATTGGCCCACCTTGCATTTTCAGTTTCTTTTAGTCCTACCTAAAAATTTATATTAGGTCGAGTAAAAAGTTTTTATGCAGTTTTGAACCTGGCACATTCATAATTGCATTCAATATTTTTTTTTTAATTTCGAACACAGAATTTAAAGAAACAAAAGACAATTTGGAGCCTGCTCATTGATATCAAACAATCGAACACTAAGAAAACTTGATTTTATTGGTTTAGTTGGATTTAATTCTTGAAAGTGTGATTTTTCTCTTTGGTTTTGCAACAAACATTACTTATTCTTAACATTAACAATAATCTATGGATACTTCGCCTGAAGTCGCCGCCCAAGCTGTGGCACTTATCCGGGCCGGACACAGCCAAAGAAATGTGAGTGATCAACTTAATTTAAGTCGATCTGCGGTCCGAAACGTTTATCGGAGATACCTAGAGCCTGGCGGCTTTGTTCGTGGCCAAGGAAGGCCACGATTTTGGGTCACAACTTAAAGGCAGGATCGATTCATCGTGACGACCAGCCTGAGAAATCGTCACCTTACCTCCATTGAGATACAAAACCAACTTCGCAACTTCCATAGAGTAAATGTGAGCGCTCGAACTGTTCGGAGAAGATTAAAAGAACGCGATATGGTACCACACAAGCTAATGGCCCAAAACTAACGCGAGCCCACCGAATAGCGCGCCTTCATTTCGCGCGCTCACACTTAAATTGGACTCAGCAGCATTGGAACGGTGTACTCTTTTCTGATGAGTCTAAAATTGCGTTACATGGCAATGATGGAAGGAAGAAGGTCTACCGACGTAAGGGAGAGCGTTTTGCACAATGCTGCTTTGAAGAGAGGGTTGCTTATGGCGGTGGCTCATGGAATGTCTGGGGCGGTATATCTGCGAGCGGCAAAACTCAACTTGAAGTTGTTACGGGACCACTGCTGCCAACATTAAATGCTGAAAGGTACATTCTTGAGTGCTTAGAACCTCACGTGATGCCATACGCGGACTATGTGGGCCCAAATTTCCTTTTTATGCATGATAATGCAAGAGCCCATACGGCCGGCATCGTCAGAGAATATCTTCAGGATGTGAACATCGCAGTTATGGACTGGCCAGCCAGAAGCCCATATATGAACCCCATTGAGCACATGTGGGACGAGCTAAAAAGACGTGTTAGGGCTCGTCAGCCAGTTGCCCAGACGATGCAGGAATTGAAAACTGCCATAGAAGAGGAATGGGAGATGATCCCTCAAAATTTTATAGAGCGGTTGATAAACTCTATGCCTAATCGTATCAGAGCTTTCGTAGATGCCCATGGAGGCAACACGCGTTATTAAATTAAACCTTTATTTGATAAAACACGTTTTTTATTCAAAAATCAACTGACTTCATCATGGCGCATACCCGACTTGTTAGGCTTATCTCCATGTGGTGTGGTATTCTAAATTCAAATTTAAAACAATACGATCGAAAAAGATGGTAAAATGTATCAGGTTCAAAACTGCATAAAAACTTTTTACTCGACCTAATATACATTTTTAGGTAGGACCAAAAGAAACTGAAAACGCAAGGTGGGCCAATAGATGTGTCCAGAAGTGTATATGCAAATACAGACTGTAAAATTAATATCTATAGTCAAGAAATATACAATAGTGTGTCGCACAATATATAACATAATATTTTTTATAACAAATAAGTTAATGTAAATATAAACCACTATCATTGTAAATACTTTAAGATTCGGTCAATATTACTTCCTAATGTAAAGAAAACCCTGTTGAAAAAAAAATCCTTAAGAAAAACTAAAATTAACATACATAATATACAAAATGATACTCCTAACCTCATTTATATAAACAGTATCAATCTAAAGCATATAAAGAAAGACTTCGTTATAGGATACCGTAATACAAATATTGCTTTACAATAATATATTCTTTGGGTGGAGTGAATGACCTCCAAATATGTCCTTGAACTTTCTAATACGGTCATTAGTCTGTGTGAAAATTAAAGTATCCCTTTATAAGTTTCTGAACCTCACGATCACAGTTAAATAACAATTGGTATATTAACTAAGAAGATTTTCTTGTGTGTGTTTATTTATCATTGGCCAAGGACGTAGGTTGTATTGGTAAACAGGGACAGGGTGGCGCGTTGTATGACGGCGGTAACATGGTCGGAAAGAAACCGGACGCCGCTGCTAATTGTCTGAAAACCGAAATTAAATCAAACATTACCTGAAAATTCTTTCTTTTAGTGATTGCTGTTATATGTTTTGTCTATAACACTTACTAATTATTAAAAACTTTATCTAGGTATATGCTTTGAAGCTCGTTTACTAGTTTATAAATAAAACCATAACTGCTCCTAAGCTGCTATAAGTGGCATGTTCGGCTGAAGTTCACTCGGTCTCGGGTTCGAATACCGGGAGACAATACACTACTCATCATTAGATAGATAGGACAGCTTTGAGCACTTAACGCTGTCTTGCGTGAATGGCCAGTGCCAAAATGTCAGCTACCATAGCTAAACTAAATCAGATTATAGTTAACCTAGCAGCCTGCCCGGCCTGGCAGGGCTGTCCGTTAATTTTTTTAAATATTTTGGATAAGATTGTAATGAAAAAAATGTTTGTTATTTGTAGAAGGGGCCGTATTACGTAAGCAGATGTACTACAATTAATTAATACTCTCAAAAATAATAGTAGGTAGGTACTTAAACGTATTAATTTTTTGTAGGAATCCTCGAAAATGCATTTCGTTTTCAAGCATAGACAATGTGTGGGTAATATGTGTAAAAAAGTAAGTAATTACTGTTGACGTAATCACCAAATAATATAATGAAAGACAGGAGTCCCCCTTTAAAGGTTACGTATATAATACTTAAACGGCCCCGAAGTTGAAATCCAGTCCAGCAGTTTTAGAGTTTATTCGTTAAAAAATACAAATCGTTTATCTTTTTAATAAGACATACACATTAGAGTTACTAGTTAAACTTCTTGTATGCTATGTTTGCCTGTAAGTGCTTGACACATTAAAAACTGTATTTTATTTTTCTTCTGTCAATGTATCAGTGTACCAGCGTTGGCAAGCTTTTATAAATAAAAAAATAAACTGTGTTTTCACTACGTATTACCTGTATTGTTGGTCCAAATGCGCTTTTTCAATTCTTTTGTCTTTTGCTCTTCTATTTTGAAACCAGATTTTAACTTGCGTTTCGCTAAGTGATAAGGCGGACGCTAATTCACATCTGCAAAAAATACCACAATTAGGACCAAATCTCAGTTTATGTATACAAACCAATGTTATTTAAATTTATTATAAGGAAAGTATTAATTAGTAGGCTCAAGACTGGATCAGGAGTCGCACTATGGACCCCCTCTGCCCCATATAGGGATTATAGGATATTAGGCCAAAAGTATGTAGTGACAACCAAAACCCCCCCCCGTAACAGTCATGTCTACATAAAACAGCGCCGCGTGTCACAGAGAACGGTTTACTTTTTTCAGATCTTTAATATACATAGGTATTGTATCTATAGAAAGTTAAAACAGGCGCAAAAATGTGACCGCACTATGCTTTATTTCGGCATTAAGGCTTGGATTTTCTATAGACAAAGTAGGTCATTTTGTGTAGGTATAGAGAAGTAGTTCGGTTTTTAAAAGTTTTCAATGCTCAATGAGGTACACAAATTTTACTTGTATGCGATGATCGTTGCATGCCTATGTTGAAAAGCCCTAACCGATACGTCGACTTGCTGCCTACACGGCTCTCCTCCGCTTTTTCGACCCCCGATGATGAGACCCATAATAGTCTGGATTTGGTCAATCCAATGCGTAGGCGATTGCCGCCGACTGCTCTGCTACCACTCCATCAAATAATAAAATAAATATGGATTATGCTATTCACCTTCTAGCACGTGCAACATATTCTCCTCTTGCGTATTCAAGCTCCAAGCGAAGTGTCTGATGGGCAGAGAATGTGGTTCGTTGGCGTCGCGGCCGGCTTTCTTTGCGTCTTCTTCGGGCTACTGTTAAAACATTTTGCAAGTCAATAAGGGTCTATCGAAACAAGAATTAAAACACAAGAGCCCCATTAACTAAAGTATAGGCTATGATAATATACTAAAAATTAAGTCATATTTATGTCAGGTACACTATGTATTACCAAAGCTAAGTTTGAAAAATTTATTTGCTTTGGTTATTCCATCTTCGAAAATCGCACAAGGAGGTATATTCTCACCTTTGAGCAGTGTTGGCAGCGACTCATGCCTGTCGTCGTAGGTACGATTCCCGGCTGTGCACCATTAGACTTGTCTGTCTATGTGGGCATTGAATTTATGGCGTAAGGTGAAGGTAAACATTGTAAAGAAACCGGCTTGTCTTAGACCCAAAAAAAAGTTGAAGGGCTTGCCTATTGCCTAATCATCACGAAACAGATCCAAAAATCTGCGTAAGGTGAAGGTAAACATTGTAAAGAAACCGGCATGTCTTAGACCCAAAAAAAAGTTGAAGGGCTTGCCTATTGCCTAATCATCACGAAACATATCCAAAAATCTGAGACTTAATATTTTCACCAAATTCAGTATTAACGAAAGATTTTTCTAACATTACAGGGTTATTGGTAATTCGTTAGAAGATTATAGGAGTAACTATTTGTGAGTCCCCCATTTGCATTAACTAAGAAAGCGGTTGTTTTTAAAATAATTTGCAATCCTAGTTTCATAACGTTTTTTTGTGATTTTATCTTAAAATAAAAAGCCTAAAAAATGTTGCCTAAGCGGAAAACAAATCTCAAAAAAATATTGAAATAATATCGTATTTTGTCTCGCATTTTTAAATTTGGACCAATAATTGTTCTTTTAATATTGATATATCGTTTTAAAAATCGGAAGAAAAAATTGTATTTAAATTGATACTTTTTTAAAATAAATTTTCAATTTTTACTTATTTTGAAATAACCTAAAAAGACATATCTCAAAAATGGATTACTTTTGCATAATGCATTTGGTTTAAATTATCACCCTGTCACCTTCTAAGGGGAATACGTCAAATTACCAAAAACTGTAGGTGTACTAAACTGCCATGCTACTAACATTGACAATGCTTAGAACTAGGTTAGAAACATTGCTGATGAAAACTTTTTTGAATTTCAATTTTAGAACTCTTTGGTAGCCTAATGTAGTATATTTGTTTTTGTGAATTGGCGGCAAATGTAAAACTCTTGTTACACGTGAAAATTAACATAACGCGAGAAAATTGTGTCGAGATAATGAGCCATCCGTCATAAAGTCCTGACCTGGCGCCCTGCGACTTTCATTTATTCCCAAGAACTAAAGATAAAATTCGAGGTATTCGCTTTACGAACCCTGAAGATGCGGTGAGAGCGTACTAAAATGTAAATAAGTATATTAAGGCACAAAAAAGCCAATATTGCTTCTCCGAATCATCTCTAAATTCAAAAAAACTGGTAAAGAAATGTAAGCATAAAAATTACGCCTTTTTTCAACATTTATTATTTGAGAATAATTTTAACATTTAAAATTTTGTTTCGGAAAGAAACACGTGAATTATTATATTAGGTTGGGGAAATAGTATAATATTTCATTACAAGTGCCTGTCATTGCAAAGAGTTTCGACAAATGTCTACCCGAGCCGAGGCGCAGCCGAAGCTGAGGGTTGACAGTCGGAACAAGTTGCAATGACGGTTCCGCACGTGTACTGAACAACTATTTTTAATACAGTTGCGAAAAAATTATGCAATTTAATAAAAAAACAAACTCAACTCACTAATCATTTATTTCTTATACAAATTATTGTTCACATATACATTGGTACAGTTTTTTATACTAACTGGAGAAGTTTTAGGTTGCATATTTATTTACTGTTTGAGACAAACTATTATTTATTTCGTATGATTTTTCATGTATATTTAATATATAATATAACAAACAACTAAACGCGCAAAGAACATTTTTGGAAAATGGCGCCAACCGTAAAAGAATATAAGCAGTTATTTTTTTTTTCTTCACCCATTCTGGGTAGGCAAAGGGAACTATGCCCATACCGCCAAGTCTTTAGTACAATTTTTTATTGATATGAAATGAAATTTAACCTAACTCATTGAATCAAATCATTAAATCTTATATTGAAACAAAGCAGTAGCTTCTTTTTAGAAATATTTGCATGAATCATAAAAATTTCTATGAATTTTTTTTTGTAAAAACTTCGTGGTTGGTTTTTTCTTTTTAATAGACATTATTTTGACAGTTGGGAAAGAAAACGCACTAGTTCGGAAAAGGTAAAAAAAAAGCACGAGTGTGTAATAGCCCACATCCCGAACGCTATACGTCCCTGCAATACGCCACTTTTTGAGCAACTGTATTAAAATAGTATATTTCATTACAAGTGCGGAAAGCCTGTCATTGCAAAGAGTTCCGACAAATGTCTACCCGAGCCGAGGCGCAGCCGAAGGTGAGGGTTGATAGTCTGAACAAGTTGCAATGACGGTTCCGTACGTACTGAACAACTATTTTTAAAGAAAAAACTGTTTGACCGGATTGAAGTTATGTATATGCGTCACCGTGACCACGCACGCTGTAAAGCACGCGAAACGTCGGATAAATTTAAAATTATGTTAAATAGTTGTAAATTTATACATAACTTCAATCCGGTCAAACAGTTTTTTCTCTAAATGTGTAAAGGTTATGTAAATCAAAGACAAAACTATTTTTAATACAGTTGCGAAAAAATGAAGCAATTTAATAAAATAATAAAACCACAATAAACTACTCCTAACTAGTCATTTTTTTCTTATTGTTATAATTCACATATGCATTGAAATTGGTAAAGTTTTTTAACTGGAGAAATTTTAGTTTGCATATTTACTGTTTGAGACAAACTATTATTAATTTCGTATGATTGTTCATGTATATTTAATATATTAGTTATATACAACAAACAACTAAACTCGCAGAGAACATTTTTGGAAAATGGCGCCATCTGTAGAAGAATATAAGCACAGTTTTTTTTTCTTTACCCATTCTGGGTAGGCAAAGGAAACTATGCCCATACAGCCAAGTCTTCAGTAGAATTTTTTATTGATATTAAATTTAATGAGATGAAATGAAATGAAACCTAACCTAACTCATTGAATCAAATCATTAAATCTAATATTGAAACAAATTCGTAGCTTCTTTATAGAAATACATATTTGCATCAATCATAAAAACTTCTATGAATTTTTTTTAGTAAAAACTTCGTGCTTGGTTTTTTCTTTTTAATAGAAATTATTTTGACAGTTCGGAAAGAAAACGCACTAGTTCGGAAAAGGTAAAGAAAAAGCACGAGTGTGTAATAGCCCACATCCCGAACGCTGTCGTCCCTGTAATACGCCACTTTTTGAGCAACTGTATTAAAAAAGTCTTTTCGCATTATAGTATGTATTAACTTGTAATAAAATCTCTTTGGCTATACTATATGTATCTGGCTGGTTTTGTTATCAAGGAAAGTTGAGATTTTAAAGAAGATAATTCCAAAATCAAATTAGGATAATGTCTGTTTCGTACCGTCAAGATGAGTGAATCGGATGAAGAAATTCGATACATTTTAAAATTTTACTACAAAATGCAACACAAGCCGCGAAAAAAATTTGCGATGTTAATATGGCCCTAGCGCAGTATCTGTGACAGTAGCACAAATTTGGTTTAAGCGTTTTCAATCCGGAAATTTTGATGTCAAAGATCCAAGTCGCTCTGGTCGCCCTATGACGGATAAAATGGATGCCATTTTTGAAAAAGTGGAACAAGATCGGCATATCATATACCTACAACGTAGCTGAAGAACGGGGAATTGACCACAAACCAGTTTTGGCGCATTTGAAAAAAACTGGGTACACAAAAAAGCTCAATATTTGGGTACCTCACGAACTCACTGTAAGAAACCTAATGAACCGTGTACTCATTTTTGGTGGAACCGAACCATTTTGAAGAAGCTGATAACTGATGATGAAAAGTGGATCACGTACGACAAGAACGTGCGAAAAAGGTCGTGGTCAAAGGCCGGTCAGGCTTCACAGAACTGTGGCGAAACCCGGGATAACTCGCAACAAGGTGATGCTGTGTGTGTGGTGGGATTGGAAGGGCATTATTCATTATGAGCTGTTACCACCAGGCAGGACCATCGATTCTGAACTCTACTGCGAACAACTGATGAGATTAAATCAAGAAGTTGAGAGAAAGCGGCCGGAATTAATCACCAGAAGGGGTGTGGTTTTTCATCAAGATAACGCTAGACCTCACACATCTTTAGCCACTCAGCAAAAACTAAGAGAGCTTAGCTGGGAGGTGATAATGCATCCGACGTATAGTCCTGACCTTGCACCTTCAGATTTCCACCTGTTTTAGTCTTTTCAGAATTCTTTAGGCAGTGTCAGGTTAACATCACGAGAGGACTGCTAAAACCAATTGTCGCGGTATTTTGATTAGAAGCCCCAAAATTTCTATAGCAATGGGATCATGTCGTACCTAAATGATGGCAAAAAGTTATCGAACAAAATGGTACCTACATACTTTAGTTAAATGTAAATAAACTATATTAAAAAATGTTTTGAATTTTCTTTAAAAATACGAAGAAACTTTTTCCCCAACCTATTACTAATTATCATTAATAACAACATGTGCTGTGTCCGTTACAGTTTAAAAGCTTACCGGCACTAAATAAGGTTTCTCTGGTTCCTGCAATCAGCGGAAAGTGATTTTCTAATAAAAAATTACTTGTAAGAGCTCATTCCGCACCATATTGTCCCGGAAATTGACCCTAAGTGAATCACGGATATAATCGATATCTATTGAAATCTGATATGTATTTATTAACGCCATGTTGAGCAATATAAACGAAGACTCCCAAAACTCCCAATGAAACAGTCATAGTCGATTTGCAGCTCTGACGTGATTTTGCTTGATATAGCTGCGTCAAGTAAAAAGTTTTTACTACTTTACTAATAAAAACCTTTTTCCTAATTGCTAATAATGTGTTTAAGGAAAAACTAACTTTATGTATAATGTCAATTATTAATGTAATTTTAATGTCAATTATTTACAGTATCACACACTTAAAAAAATATGTAGTAAAACGCATTGGATTATCACAATTTTTCCACAATAATTGTGTTAAATTAATAACCTTTTAGACTTTAGTAAAAGATGAGACTACCTAAATAGAAAGATATTTACCTACTAAACGCGACCTTGAGTTACATATTCATTAGTT